GTGGACAGAGGTGATATGGCAGGGAATAAGCATGTTATTTCAGCAATCGGGTTTATCTATTCTCAGAAAGCGATATCTTAGAAAACGCTTGCTGAAAAAAAGACTAATGAGGTAATTGTAGATTTGCTTGACGTCATTAACTAGGGGAGGCTTTGGGCACAAATTCTGCGCAGCTGCCTGACGCAGCTTCGATGAGTTCTGCTCACAAACGGCTCCTCCAGCGTTCCTGTGGGTTTCTGGTTAATGAACTCCAGTTTTAGTGTGATTGATCATGAACTGCTTATTACCCGTGCCACTTGGCAGTTTGTGAAGATGACGTGGTTATACCGCGGCGGTAGCTGATGGATTTCAGCTCAAATGCTCACATCAATTTTCAAACCTAGCCTGAAAAGGTTTGCTCCGAAGAATTTGCTCCAAGTTCGCACATTAACTCCCTCGGAATTCAAACAAGACAGGCTAAAATTTGAACTCAAACATCATATACGGGATGTGGACGATGCTGTATACTTTATAAACAGCACATGATGATTATTTGGGAGGTGGGATTTCACGGTCTTAAACAGACTCATAATTAGAAACATTTTTAAGACTATAGGATACTCTGTTTTCCCATTATAAAATTCTAAGAAAGCGTAATTACTGCAACAAAGAATAGTTGTAGTCTGTTTTCTTTAAAAAAAATATTTGAATTTATAAGGGCAACGATAATCAACAAGAAAACACAACCACCCGAAACGCCAGATCCCTAATAAACCTTTCCCGGTGAGCACCCTACCTTTTTCTTCTAACTGTAACTGTCAATACTCAGAGTGAAGGCGGGAATAAACCGACAAAAAAGACAGGGGGGAGGGGGACGGAGAATATAACTAGCGGCACAAAGAGTGCCTACCTGGCCCCAGCGAACCAGCGCCTGTCCGAAACGGGCTGTGCGTGTGGGGAAGACACAGTCAAACATGTCACAGCCCAGAGCTGAGCAGACGACCATATCGACGGGGAAGCCGACGCCCATCAGGTAGCGAG